GCTAGAGTATGGTCGAAACTCTAGCATGATTTTCCAACCTTTGATTTGATTTTCACTGTATTTCTATGCTAAGAAGTGTACTCCCACAAGCTAATTTTGCTTTGATACTGGGTTTATAATATGCATACGCACATATACATACAAAAAATTAGTCATAATGCATATGTTATCAGGTTCTGGAAATGGATAATACAAACACACATATCCTTATTAACATGGTTAAAAAAAAATTATCAAACTGGATTCTGTTTGCTGCCTCATTGCCACGACTAAGTGGATTATTAGCAACAGAAGAAATCAAAGGGACATTACCAATACTTAGCCAATTAAGAGCATTAACACTAGGACCACTAACACTTTGTGATTCATTAACAGTGGTATTCATATTATCAAGACCAGAAAATCAGAAACAATAGCACTATCACTAGCAGGAACACTAAGTACTGGTAGTGTGGTTTGAGTAGCTCCATCAAAGGTCCTATGACCAGCCAAATTACCAAAGGTAGGCCGATTAGGAACAATGATTTCATGTGTTCTATGACCAGCCAGATCACTTTGGACCAGCCGATTAGAAATAATTGCAGATGATAAGCTCACCACACCAGTACTTTAAAGTGTGACCAGAAAATAGAAGTACCTTGAAGAGCCCCAATCTCCAACCACTGTGATAATCGCTGGCCTGGAGCCTCTGTTGGTTAGAGCTCGTGCTGATAACGTGTTAAAAGGAAAAAATAGAATAGTGAATAGAGAGATGAGGGAGAAAGGATGATAGTCTCTTCATTATCATCTTCATCTACAACAAGCTAAGTATAGAGTATATATACATAATACAAAGGTATTAAATTGATGCAATAAATGTATAACAGTTACATACGTTACAATAATAATGTCCATAATGATGATGAATTATAACATTGGCTATTTTAGAATTATTAAATAAAAACCCAAAAATACATTCCTGAAATTAAGAAACACGTTAGGAATCCAAATTAAAAATTTAATTCTTAGGTCAGAATCAGAAAATTCGTGATTAGAATCTAAAGTTTGTCTTCTATTCCTAAGATCTATATGACTATATCATTGAATGTATGGGCTATTTGGTTCACAATAAGCCTGGAATGACATAGCATTCCCAGTAATAAGTCTATTCCTCTGTTTGGTAACCACTTGTATTAACAGGAACATTGTTCCCGGGAATGACCTATTCCCCTTGCAAGAGGAATAGAGATTCCTGGGGGGCCATGGTATTAGGTTATTCCCGAGTTCTCAGAAATAGCCTAAAGTTTCTATTTCCTATTTTACACTCCAATTAAATTTTTTCTATTTCACCACCACCATCGCCACCGCCGTCGTCGTCACCACCGCCGCCACCACCCCACGACCGCCACCGCCACCACCCCAGCACCACCACCACCACGACCAACGCCACCATCGCCGCCGCCACCATCACATATTTTTATAAGGGTATTTATATCTTTTAAAACATATTTTATTTCTATTCCTTAAATCAACCGAACATTGTAATATAATTCATAAAGTCTATTCCTTCCGTGAACCAAACAATAGAATACAATTCATATTCTATTCTTTGCCTATTCCATTCCTTATGGAATAGCATTTCTATTACCTCAAAATTCATTCCGTGAACCAAACGTGCTGGTATAGTATGTGTTCCCCTCTTCACTTTTAGACTTAAGACGTATATTGCAAAATCTTACAATTGCAGCTTGGCCAGTGACACGTACCGTCACTCGATGTTTGGCGAAAAATCTTGTGATCTAGTGGCATCAAGTTGCTCCCCATATGGGAGGTTGTGGGTTCGAGTTGCGAGTCGTTATTAACTCTTTGTGCTTCAATAGGTTGAGAAAGTAGTTATGAAATGATACTGCATTATACTAAAAAAAAAAAAAAAAAAAAAATACTATCTGCACTCATTAAATCTTCTCTTACCTTCAAAATGTCATATTACTAAATTTGTAATTAATTAGTATTCATTCTCCATGCAATTCGATGTCTTTCATATTTCAAAAGTGGTCTCGGTATCACATGAACTTGTAATAAATTATTATTTTTTATCAATAAAAATTTATTTTATACAACTAATTTAAGATATAAAAAATAATAATAATAATAATAATAATATTCAAATTTCGTCAAATTATTTTACATATTTGAAATAAATTAAAATAATTCGTATGCAAATATTCAAACAAAAATTATACTACGTAAAAATTTTCCATAGTCAAATGATAGATAAAATATTATTTTAAATTTATATTACTAATTTAATATTATCTGTTCTTCCCCATGAAATTAAACTAATTAAAGCTAGATATTTATACAATTTTTCATAAGTTTCAAGCAGTGGTTTAGCGATCTTGTAAAAATTAAAGCTATTCAATCTGATCTAGGAGGAGAACACAAAAATTGGACAAGTTCTATATGTCAACTTAGAGATAAATCGTCAATCGTATGCTTACGCACATAAACAAAACATGCATGCATGTAAAAAGATGTCACCTTGTGGACGAATGCAGATGGAATATAGTTCTCACTCTCAGCTCGTGTGTACATTAATAAGGCATTATGGTCATAACATATTGGAAAGAAAATAAAAATAGAGTAAAGCTATTGTATTTGGATTTCCATGGAAGATTGTGTTTAGTGTTGTAGCTTGGATGAATTAGTTCTAGAGGAATGGATCTTTATTTTCAAATTGAGTTTGGGTGGCCTAGACGAGATGCAAAACATTTTGGGTAATGTTAAGGATGCTTGGGATGAGTTTATATAAGGTAAATGTAAATGGCAGTGTTAAGGGATAATTAGGAAAAATAGTTTCGGGGGGAGTGTTGTAAAATTGTCGAGAGATCAGAGTATGTGGCTATGTGGTTTTTACTACAAGCTAGGTTAAAGTAGCTTAGCTTGCAATTTGACAACATACCTTTGGATGATCTATTATGGTTTGTTATAAAGTTGGGTATGAGGTTAATCGAAAGTGATTCCCAAAGTAGCAATTGAATATGAGAAATACGGAGGCAAAGATACATGATCGAACTCTGAAAGCCATAGTCTGGAGTTACACCCAATGTGATGGACTCCTTGTGGGCATCAGATATTAGCCTGGACTCAACTCCTACCTAATAGGTCACTGAGTTATCATAATTTACCATTCCACTATTCTGTAGGACTAGGGCGTGGGGGTCATCATGGAACCAAAAAACTGTCTTTTTTCTGGGCAAACAAAGAGGCAAGGAGATGGATCATCATCTTCATATAGTTAAAACTATTAACGAGCTTACTAAAAGGGTTAGGCATTGTTGCATTAAATATATTCGTCAAGCGGTGAATACTTGCATACATTATACATCTACAAATGAGGTTCAGTTGTACTTGGGGAAGGTATATATATTCATCCTCTCTTGATAGCAAATTGCATTGGTATTGTATGATTATGATTTTTTTATTTTTTTTAAAAAAATTGACTTATATTTCTTTATTTTTAATGTATTGAAAAAAATAAAGTAAAGCTACTAATACCGCAGATAACAAAAATTTATCATTAAAAGATGTTAAGCTAAGATGAAGTCGGTTTCCTATTGCCTCGCAAGGGCTTGATATTATATTAAAAGATACTCCGTATTAGAATTGTTCAATGGCTTGCACGATCCAAATTGATGTCTAATTAAATCATACACATGCATCACCTTTGACATTTCATTTTAGACTAAGTCCATATAGCCAATGAAGTTGTGGTTTAATTTAGTGGCACACAATGACTCTCCCAAGTGGGAGGAAGTCGTTATATTGTGGACCGCGGTCAAAACGGCGCGCCGTTAGTATTAAAGGAGCGCGTATCTTTTGTATGTTAATTACTAACTGACACTACAGTATATCTAAACTGACACTGCCTCACGTATTATTTTTATATTATCAAATGAAACTGCAGTTATATCAAAATGATATTGTAGTTGTGGTGAAATGAAACTGCAGTGTATATAAAATGAAACTGAATAACATTTCACATATTTGAGTGTATATTGTACAATGAAACTGTAATTATATCAAAATGATCATGTAGTTGTGTTTTAATAAAACTATAGTGTATATAAAATAAAATTAAATAACATTTTCACATATTTGAGTCTATAAATATCGAATGAAACTGTAGTTATATCGAAATGAAACTGTAGTTGTGCTGAACTGAAACTGAGTGTATACAAAATGAAACTGAATAACAAAGTTACTTTTTGCGGAAGGGTGTGAAACAGATGACGTTTCTTTTCATTAAAATAAAGCGAGGTCGTTTTAATGCATTGTGCATAATCGATTATGCACCGTGATGCACGATATAATTTACCCGTGAGAGGTCATGGGTTTAAGTCCCGGTGGGAGTAGTATTAACTCTTTGTACTTCAGTAAGTTAAGAAAGTAGTTATGAACAGATATTGTATTGTAATATAGTCAGTAGTACTTCAACAAAAGACATTGTAACAGCATATACCCTACAGCGCATGGTATCAACTTCTAACATGTCTCCCCCCTTTCGTAGGTTTGTAGTTATAAAAAACGTAACATATACCCTACAGCGCGCATGGTATCAACTTCTAGCATGTTTCCCCCCTTTCATAGGTTTGTAGTTATAAAAAACGTAATTACAAAACATAACAATTGAGAAACTTTGTAGTTATAAAAAAGGTATAGTAATTACAAAACATAACAATTGAGAAACTGAATCAAGTCAAGATAAAAGAACGACCTAACAATTATCAGTTGGCAATTTTTTTTTTGGTTGCCCAGAGTATCATCCAGTCAATAGTCAAAAGACTAATCCTCGTCCTTATGGTCAGGGCACTGGTCAAATGATTTGCTCCATTTACATGGGTGAAGATCGAAACCCCAACCATTCATGCTTAAGGGACAAGGTGCTGAACCACGGGCCAAGCATGTCGGTTCATATAATTTTATTTCTAAATATACATAAAACTCTACTAAATACAGAAAACAAAACCCACCGTATACTGAGCTGAGAAAGTTATTCCAGTTTCCAATTTTGCATGACTTCATTGAATGGAGCAACTAGGATTGGAGTCGTAAACCGGTTGACACACCGGGTAGTACTGTACGCATGGATTGTTGTAACCCGGCGGCGGACAAGGACAAGTTTTGCAGCATTCATCTTTCTTCTTATCGTCTTTCTTCTCCGGCGGCTTCACTTCTTCAATGGAGACAATGCTGGCGCATTTGAATTTCCTCTTCAAGCACTTCATCAACTCAAAGGAATCGACGCCGCCGCCGGTAACCACCAACTGGTTTTTATCTGCATCACTAGTAACCGATATCACCCCTGCATCACATCCAAACACCATTATATTACTTCCTTCTGGTCCTTTGCGACAAGACTAGTTTATCCCGTGCATACCCTCGGGAGTGGTGATAAATTTCAATTCCCTCATCACTCAAAAAAAAAAAAAATGGAGTAACCAAGATGCATGACTAAGCTTGGATACAAACTTGTAACTACAATGTCACGAGTTCAAGTTCCAGCCTTCTTTGTATGAGCTCATCAGCTACGGACAACCTAGGTTGGTTTACCTTTTGCCAGTTAGGTCACAAGGTGAAGTTTGCTCTGTAAATACCCTCAAATAGTAACAGTAGGTTTCCTTATCACCCAAAAGAAAGAAAGAAAACAAAGAACTGGTATTTTGTGATGTTATGATATAAAATGAGTATATATATATATATATGTATATATGTATAGCTTATTTACCTGGAGTAGATACTGCAATTTGCATAGCCTTTGCCCGGCATTTATCGTTGTTTACCGCCAGACTGATCGTGATTTTTTGCTAAATTCAATCATAAACATATAAGATCAGAACACAAATCAATCATCACTGTTATAAAACATTAAAGATTGATATACATGTAAATGATTTGGAATAAAACTAACATATATATATATATATATATACATACCTTCATGTTGAATGTTGTTTTGTTACGTTTTCTTCTCGCTTTCCCCGACCTAGCTAGGGGCTTGGGGGCTGTTTATGGATGTTTATATACAGTAATATATAGCAGTACAGTGGCGGATCTAGAGGGGACAATAGGGGGCAGTTGTCTCCCTCACGGCCTCACCCACCCCAGGCCAGCCACTATATAGGTATATGTTTTAGTAGAATAAATAATGTATGGAATCTTAAGCATTAAGATAACTCAGTTGATACTGGCTAATTTTATCTCTTTTTAACCCACTTAAAATATATAATTATATTTTAATATATAAAAAAGTTTTTTTTTTTTAATTTAATTTTTATGAACTATGTAATCTAGAAGTTTAAAATGTCCGTCATTGTATTTAAATTTTCCTACAAATGCTTAGAGTTGGACTAATTAAAATAAAAATTATTTATGAATAACATATTAATAGATATATGATATAAAATTTATTTTAACCATTTCATATTTTTATTTTTCGCCTACTAAACAAAATTTAAGTGTGTACTAATTATTCTGTAAACAGTTTTTTTTTTTTTTTTTTTTTTTTTTACTACTATTGACTATATTAAAATGTAGTATCTGTTTATAGTTAGGCTCAAACGTAACCCATAACTTCCCATTTAGGAGAACCACTTTGTATCACTAGACCACAGGATCATTGGCAAGACCAATCTACATTAGTTTGACATATATTAATTTAGGAACCTACCTAATTAACTAGACGGATTCAACCCGATGGGGTGGCAAATTATAGTACTAATTAATGCAATACATATAATTCTTGTGGGATCAATCTTATTAATCTAATATTACATGCACTCCAAGTAGTTTTTCTTTATGTTTTTACATCATGTTGATGTAGTATACTCTAACTAATTCAGTAAAAAATAAAGTGAACATACAATACTTGCTATAATAAAATCATGACATATATATGTGTGTGTCGAAAGATTATATTCCAATCTCAAATAATAAAAGTATCAATTTGCATGGCTGAAAAATAGTGAACTTTTGAGCACTCCAAAAAATAGATTTTTAAATTTATTTTAACCATCTTTTAAGGTGGTCAAAAATTTCAATCACTATTAAAAGGTGATTGAAATATTTAAAGACCATATAAATTCAAAACCTAGACGTGTGTTAGGTTTCTTGACCGAACCCAAACGCTAAGAAACGCCCTATTAAGGGGTTCATCTTATCAATTTTCTAGCAAAATCTATCAAAAGCCTTTCCAATTGTTGCAGGAGAAATTTTGCAGCAACCATGGTACGTTTTTTAAATTTTTTTTGAATGTTTCGACCACTAATTGTCAATTTTTTTTATCACTTTCCGACCACCTGGTGGTCAAAATGTTATGGTTCATGCGCGTCTTATGCAACCAAAGTTTCCAAACATTAGAAAAGTGATTGGAAAGTGGTCGCAAATTTGTATTACTTTAATTAGTGATATGAATTTGTGAGAAGACTTTTTGTTACTGAAAACTCTCGAGTTCCGACCAATTTGAAGTGGTCGAATAATAAGCTATTATATTGATTTGCCAATTTTTTTAAAAAATCAAAATGAGTCTTTTAATACTTTTACATAAGTGGCAAGCTAGATCAGAATTTGTTTGAGTCAAAAAAAAAAGGGATATAAATGATGATATTTTTTTATTTTTTTTTTAAGAATTGTTGGATGGACTAGAATAGCAATTGAATTATTATTATTATTATTTTAAAAATAATTTCTAGGTAGCAAGTAGAATTTATTTCCGATCAAGTAAAAAACACGAGATATAACTAACCTTTTTAACGAATTGAAGGGTATAAATTGAATGAAATTAAATTAAGTTATTAAAATTTTAATAGAAAAAATATATGATAAAGTTGATAGAATTAGGGATGACAACGGGGCGGGGAGCTGAGTGTACTCCCCGTCCCCGTCCTCGTCCCGATCCCCGAAACTCCGACTCCGTCCCCATCTCCGGTGGGGAATTGAAAATAGTCCTCATTCCCGTTTTCGCAGAGAATTAAGCGGGGACAAGAATTCTCCGTCCCCGATGAACTCTTAATCAAAAATCTTATATTAGTGTAATTTTTAATTTTAAAAAGTAAGGTTTTAGTTTTTTAAAAAATTATATATATATTTATTTAATAATTATTATTATTTTTATTTTTAATTATAATAATAATAATTATTCGGGGACGGGGCGGGGAGGGGTATTCCCGTCCCCATCGGAGAATTACATACATTCCTCGTCTCCATCCCCGTTCTCCGAAAATTTTCTACATCTCCGTTATTTCCATCGGGGACGGGGCATATTGTCATCCCTAGATAAAACGAGTATAATATAAGGACAAAATTTATATTTTTGACAACCTCAAATTGTACATAAAATTCGTCAAAGTTAGTGAACTCAAAATTTATATTACCCTGTGGGCTGTTTAGATATGCATGTTCATTATATATAGGATAACTACATAATTGAACACTAGTGGGTCAACAAAAAACAGGGTTGAGTCAACTACGAAATGTTTTTGCAAAGTCGTCTCTCAATCAACTAACGCATTTTGAGAATTAATATTTTGATTTTAATTAATCCTAATTGTGCGCATCTTTAATTTGATTTGTGAAATCTTTATAAGGGCATAGACTTTGGTGTAGTTTTTTAGGTGCCAAGTAGGAGAGATGAGGAGGAAAGAAAAAAAAAATAAAAAATAAAAATGAAAAGAGGTTTTTAATGCAAGAAAAAAAGAACAATCAATTGTTATCTTTACCTTGTATTGAGACCACAAAAATCTCATTCTTTACAAGAGGATGTCTAGCATTTCTCTCACTTGCTTCTCTTTCATCCATGGTGACAATTTTTTATTAAAATCTGTGAACAATCCCTCTAATGGGGATGCACTAGTGAAATTATGAAATTTCCGGCCACCTGAAAGTGATTTTAAATCAAGTCGAAAGCCTTGTTCCGACCACTTTTGGTATCCGGAAAAACCTTTGTTGCTATTTCCGATCACTTTTTGCTTTCAACTTGATTTAAAAACACTTTAAAGTGGTCGGCAATTCTATAATTTCCAACAGTGACGCCCTAATCAGTATTCCATTACCTTAATGGTCCAAATCTTATTCCTGTTCCCAAAAACTCAGTACCGGTATTAAAATTTCAAATATTTATATTCTTGTGAAAATTATATTTAAATATTTAAAATATAATAATTTGTCACCAATATTTGTATTATATATGTGATAGTTATATTTTTATCTATAAAAAATTACTCAACCTTCTTAAATTGACTATAAGCGGGTGGGTATAATATTTGAACCTAATAATTTTGTATGTGGATTTTGAAATTGTAATTTGGAATTTTTAGTTATATATATGGACTAGAGATTTTAATAGATTAAATTTAAAAAATGATGTTGATGCGAATTTTTTTTTTAAAAAAAAATTTATGCTAACTAATAGCCAACTCAACAATGTCAATTCTTTTAGGCTAGATATTATATGTTAATTTGAATATAATTGTCACAAGGACAATGATTTGAAATTAAATTACTAAATTTTAAAATTTTAATTATAGGTATTTCCAAAAAAAATATAAAAAAAATATAGGGGTGTTTAGTAAATTGTTGTTAGCTGATTGAGTTAGTGAGTTTGACTAATTGATAGCATTAGTTGATTATCGGATTGTAGAAAAGTGTTTGGTAAATTAGTTGATAGCTAATTACATGCAAAATTACTTTATCAAAAATTAAAGCTGATCAAAAAAGCTTTTTTGAGCAGCTTTTTGTAGCATTTTAAGCAACAAGCTGTTATAAAAAGATAATTAATCAAACATTCATATTGATTGTTTAATCAAGTCAAACAGTTAATAGTAATCAAATAAGTCAAAATTAACTGATAAGCTAACTATATTACTAAACAAATCATACTTGTTATGCATAATTGCCACAAAATATAAAGATCTCAATCATTTCTCACTAATATATAACCAAATACTTTTAATTTATAGCAGTTTATTGGAAAGAAAACTATATCCAAAGGCTAGATTTTTATAAACTTATAAACCACGTCCTATAGACAAACTGTGAGTATATTTGTTCAAATTATAACGTTTAAACCCCATTCATCTTAATTGAAGGGTTTGATCTCTCTTGAAAATAATTTTCGGTGGGGAATAATAAATTTTCAAGAACAAAAATTTCTTAAGAAGTCGTCAGTAGTTATTTTTATTTATTTATTTATTTTGAAAACCATCAGAACTATATTTCACTATCGTAGAACAAAGCACTTACAAAAAAAAAAAAAAAAAAAAAGAGGGAGGTACATCTAACCAATCAACATGGTCAGACACAGAACTAGAGTTCCTAACCAGTAAATGGACAATCTGATTCGCTAACCGCTTAATCAAAGAAAAATTACGAATCATTGTTTTTTTTTTTCCCTTTTCCTGTTGAAAAATTCCTCTCTCCATTTCTTCCTTTATAATTGGAGTATTGGACTAATTGAACACTGTTGGTCAACAAAAGAAGCCAGGAGTCAACTATGAAATGCTTTTGCAAAGTCATCTCCTCAATATATTCAACTAGCGCACAGAGAATTCATAAAATATTCTTATTTAATTTGTGTCCTAGTGTGAGACCGTCTGACGGATTCTTAATTATTCGTGAGACGGATCGGATCAGGTCGAATCATCGTGCAAATATCATATTTATATGTTCAAATGTACCTAATACTAATTAAGAATAAAAAATCTGTTACTTATAAAAAAATGTAATACTTTTATATTTTGATTTAAAAGTATTACATTTTCCCTTAAAAGTATTACATTTACCCTTATAAGTAACAAATTTTTTATTCCTGATCAGTATTACATTTGAGCATATAATAAGTATGACATTTGTGCATATAAGTATTACATTTTCATCTTGATCCGACCCGGCCCGTCTCACGGTGGGACGGTCTCACACAAGTTTTTTGTCTTTTGATTTTAATTAAGCTTAATTTTGTGCATCTTTAATAATCAGCTTAATTGGTGTTAGTGGTTGTGCACTCTCATTTCTCAAGAAATGTTAGAAATTGAAAGCTCTGTGTGTGAACACTGTCTAACCAAAAAGATCTTAATTTCCAATAAGGTCGTGTTTGACAAAGGAGGGAAATTAGAGTCAACTGAAAATGAGGATGGGTCAAAGGGAAAATAGTTTGGGTTTTTCCGAAAAAGAGTTAATTCTATTTTTGGTTCTAGATTTATAGGTGTCAATCCACTTTAAGTCTTTTTTTTTATTAGAACATCCACTTTTGGTCATAGTATTATTGTGGCATGACCATTTATGGTCCTTTATCAACAAAACAATTTAAATATCGTTAAATACAAGGGTATTTCGGTCTTCAATTATGGATTTTTTTTAAAAAAATAAACATAAAAAATATAGCGTTTCAACCTACTTTGTATATAATAAAAAAAGATTGAAATATCTTTGTATTTAACGACATTTCACCGATTTTGTGGGAGGATGATAAAAAATTGTCATGTCACAATAATACTAGAACTAAATGAGGATGTTCTGTCACAATTTAACAGAGGAACAATTTCGCATGACGGCTGCCGTGCTTTATCACTTATGGAACGCCCGGAATGGAGCCGTGTGGAACGGAATGTTAACACGGCCGGAGCATGTTTGGAGTCGTGCGGCTACTGCGTTGCATGCATACACACAGGCTCATCACCGTACCCCTCGGCAGCAGTGGGATGCAGCAGGAACGGCACTGCCATGTACTCGCCCACGATGTTACGTCGATGCGGGGTTCTGGCCGGCCTCCGAGGAAGCGACATATGGTGTGGTGCTGCTCGATCCAGATGGCTCGTTCAGAGCGGCAACAAACGGAAAACTCCCGGGCTGCTTCTCGCCCCTTATGGCGGAGGCGCTCGCGTGCAAAGAGGCTCTATCTTGGCTCAGGAACGAAACGAATTAGATGTAGATCTTCTCACAGATTGCTCACAATTGCGAAGTTACTTGCTCTCAAGTCCTACTGCTATCTTGTCTTACGTTGGGATGGTTGTGGACCAGTGTCGTGCAACTATATCTTTATTTAATTATTGCTCATTAAATGTTGTCTCTAGATCTATTAATTTACATGCTCATACATTAGCTTTGGTACCTTTTGATCAGGAACATTCTTTGTATTGGGTCTCTGCCCCTCCTAACTTTATTACTTCGTTCGTTCATTAATATATGCCGATGCTGTTGGCTTTCAAAAAAAAAAAATGAGGATGTTCTAATAAAAAATGACTAAAAGTGAACTGTCACCTATAAATCTAGGGCCAAAAATGAATTTAATATAATTCTTCCAGAAAACAACTTCCCTTTTTTGGGGGTGGGGAGGGGGAATGAGTCATTTTCCAGAGCCATCAAATCTTCTTTCTTTTTCTCCAAAACCTTTTTCTCCCTACCCAAGTTTTGCAGAGCCAACCTGCCAGCCGTTGTCGCCATTCGCCAGTCGCCCTCGCACCCCAAACTCGGGCAGGTTGTTGTTGTCGCCACGCCTTGCGCCACCACCTTGCTGCCAGCCGCCGTCGCACCCCAAACTTGTCTAGGTCATCACCGTCGCCACGCCCAACGCCACCACCGATCACCATGCCAAGCTCCCACCGTCGCCACCCAGCCAGCTGTCAATCTCCACGCTGAGCTTCTATCGTCGCTGCCCAGCCAACCATCTTCTTCGCCAATCACCATTGCTCAGGGGAGAATATTGGGTAATTGTAGGGATTTGGACTTTTGACTTTTTTAGATATGGTTGTGGTTTGTGAGGTTTTAATAATAATAATAATAATAATAACAACAACAACAACAACAACAACTTAATAATAATAATAATAATAATAATAATAATAATAATAATAATAATAATAATAATAATAATAAAAATCATTGCATATTTTAAATGAACCAAAACAGTTTTTTTGAAAGCAATCATACATTCGAAAAGAAAATACCGCAGATAACAAAAACTTATCATCAAAAGAAATTAAGCTAAGAAGAAGTCGTTTTCCTATTGCCTCGCAAGGGCTTGATATTAAAATTGTTTAATGGCTTGCACGATCCAAATTGATGTCTAATTAAATCATATACACATATATGCACCACCTTTGACCTTTCATTTGAGACTAAATCCATATATACCCTACAGCGCATGGTATCAACTTCTAGCATGTCCCCCCCTCTCGTAAGTTTGTAGGAATAAAAAAACGTATTACAAAACATAACAATTGAGAAACTCGATCACTAACATTATCATAAGCGACGAAAAAGTTGACAATAATTAAAAAAAAAATGTTATAATTAAGTTGTTAACATGAAAAGATATAAGAACAACCTAACAATTATCAGTTGGCAATTTATGGAGTTTACTTAGTACACACTCTTGAATAATTATTCAGGATTTTTTCTAACCATAAAAAACGTACAAAACCCAAAGTATACTGAGCTGAGGAATTGAAGTTATTCCACTTTCCAATTTTGCTTGACTTCATTGAATGGAGCAACTAGGATAGGAGTCGTAAACGGGTTGACCCACCGGGTAGTACTGTACGCATGGATTGCTGTAACCCGGCGGCGGACAAGGATAACGGCAAGTTTTGCAGCATTCGTCTTTCTTCTCCTTCTCCTCTTCCTTCTTATCATCTTTCTTCTTCTCCTCTTTATTTTCGTCTTTCTTCTCCGGCGGCTTCACTTCTTCAATGGAGACAATGCTGGCACATCTGAATTTCCTCTTCAAGCACTTCATCAACGCAAATAAATCGACGCCGTCGCCAGTAACCACCAACTGGTTTTTATCTGCATCACTAGTAACCGAGATCACCCCTGCATCACATCCAAACACCATTACTTCCTTTGGGTACGTCCTTTGAGACAACATGACAAGTTTATCATGTGCATATCCTCAGGAGTGGGGATAAGTTTCAATTCCCTCATCACTTAAAAGAAAGAAAAAATGAACCTGGTAACGAATAGACTAAGAATACACACTTGTAATTACAATGTCAAGAATTTGAATTCTAACCTTTTCTGTTTGAACTGGTCAGCTATGGACAACTTATAAACTAGTTCACCTCTTTGCCCGTTAGGGTCAGAAGGTGGGGTTTACCCTGTAAATACCCTCGAATTGTAATGACGAGTTTCTCTCATCATCCAAAAGAAAGAAAGCAAACAAAGAACTGACATTTTGTGATGTGATGTTATGATATGAATTAATGAGTATATGTATAGTTTAATTACCTGGAGTAGATACTGCAATTTGCATAGCCTTTGCCCTGCATTTATCGTTGTTTACCGGCAGACTGATCGTGATTTTTTGCTAAATTCAATTATATATATATATATATATATATATATATATATATATATATAAAGAACACAAATCAATCATCAATGTTATAAAACGTTAAAGATTGATATATATGTAAAAATTAAAGTGATTTGGAATAAAACTAACATATATACATACCTTCATGTTGAATGTTATTTTGTTACGTTTTCTTATAGTATAGAGTAATATATATAGTAGTGGCGGCTCTAGAGGGGACAGGGGGGGGGGGGGGGGGGGCACTGGTCAATTGTCCCCGTCACCCACCCCAGCCACTATAGATACTGGCTAATTTTATCTCTTCTTAACCCACTTAAAATATATGTTTATATATTTTAATTTTATCTTTCTCTAACACACTTTGAATATACAATTATATTTTAATATGAAAAGGTTTTTTTTTTTAATTTAATTTTTATGAATTAACTATTCAATGTAATCTAAAAATTTTAAATGTTGATCATCGTATTTAAATTACCTACTGAAGTATAAAGAATTAAACTCATAATCTCCCATTTGAAGGAGTCACCCCATGACATTAAACCACAAAGTTATTGGAAAGACCAATGTACATTAGATTGACATATATTAATTTCAATCACAATATTTAAAGACCATATGAGTTCGAAACCTAGACATGTGTTGGGTTTCTTGACCGAACCCAAACAATAAGAAACGCACCATTGATGGGTATCTCTTTTCAATAATCGTCAAAATCTGTTAAAAGCTTTTGCCATTGTTACATGGGAAATTTTGTAGCAACGTAACCATCGCTACGCTTTTTAAAAATTTTTTAATGTTACGACCACTATGAGGCAAAATAGTTGCATTAACTTGGCATGTTACTTTATCTGCATGCATGAATAAACTAAAGTGATTCTGATGCACAAACATAGCCGAAGTAGCTTGAATATTCTGTGTCGACCATACATTAATTATATTAATTCAAGGACCCTCGACTACACCTCATGAATAATCAACGGTACCCCTTCCCTACAATGCATGTCGAACAAGTAAAATTCTTTTTGCGCATCGCCAAACACTGTTTAAATATTAGGGAGGGATTTTCAGTCTTCATAATTGTAAACCTATATTTAAATGAGTTTGAGTTTAAGTCTCTATTCTTTTGGTGAAAATTGATGTTGATGAATAATTATAAATAATTAGAATGTTTAAATTTTAAAATATTTTAGATTTTAGATTTTTAATTTTTCTTTTTCTTATTTCAATAGATTTTGTGATATTTAACCACTTATTAGTTATTTAGTACATTAATTTTAAAAAAAATATTTACAAATATATTTTTACATATATATATATATATATATATATATATATATATATATATGGATGCACTCAGGTGCGAATAAGTGCCCAGGAAGGAATATGCGAACAAATCAGCGCGTGACGCGTGTCCAGATCTAATAGCTTAAAAAAAAAAAGCGATGACATTTTCGTAAATAATTGAACATCTAAGTGCAAGTAAAATCACTTACAAGTGCACCTACTTTCACCTATAAATGCATGTAATTTTGCAATGTTAGCATTCACTTCCCGCAAACATTCATTTACCTGGGTGTGCTTATAACTATAGGTGCAACTATTTATAACTATAGGTGCAACTACTTATAACTATAGATGCACCTACTTTCACATATAAGTGCATGTAATTTTGCCTTGTTAACATTCATTGATCTGAGTTCAGCAGGTAGTAAAACCCCTGAAAACCACCCGCAAACATTCATGCACCTAGGTGCAACTACTTATAACTATCTGTGCAACTACTTAGAACTATAGGTGCAACTACTTATAACTATAGGTGCACTTAGTATTGATGCTCAGTGTAAATTTTTACTTGCACCTATAATACATTTTACATGCACTTGTAATACACTTTACTTGCACTTCGATGTTCAATTATTTACGAAAATGCCACCGCGCTTTTTAAAAAAAATCAGTATTTTTAATCCATTAGATCTGGACACGTGAACATACAGAATTCATTCCTATTTCGCTCCTGGGCGAAGCATTTGCACCTGAGTGCGATTATATATATATATATATATATATATATATATATATAAAGAAAATATTTGTAAATATACGTACCCTTATATTTTATATTTACTATACACATAACACATTCATCAAATCAACACTTTGTTTGTTTTTCTTTTTCTTTTTCTTCTTTGAAAATTTTAAGTCGTCTCCTCATTCCTCAATCAACTAACGCACTTTGAGAATTAATATTTTGATTTTAATTAGTCCTAATTGTGCGCATCTTTGATTTGTGAAATCTTTATTATAATCAGTATTCCATTACATTAATGGTCCAAATCTTATTCGTGTTCCCAAAAACTCAATACCGGTATTAAAATTTCAAATATTTATATTCTTGTGACAATTATATTTAAGTATTTAAACTATGATAATTTGTCACCAATATCTACAAATCTACAAATATAATAAAAGCCAATAAAGTTAGGCCTTTAATGGAAAAAAAAATGTTGGTGTAATTGTTTGTTAAAATGAATAGTTCATATTATTTTGATTTTAGTTTTTTTTTTTATAGTATTTCTTATTTACTCTCTATTATACACTTTCTGGTGTATCAAAAATTTATTAAAAAGTCGTCGGTGGTTGAAAATAATAATAATAATAATAATAAATTGTATATTTAGGATACACCAAATTAATCATATCAACGGTAAACTAAATAACAATTTTTTTACTGATTTAAAGGTGTTTGAACAATAGTTATTGCGTGGACTGCGGTCCACACAGCTGTGTGAACCATGGTCCAAAAACGACGTCGTTTTGCGTATATTTTTTTCACGTGACCCACTGCAACATAGATTTGTATAACTCATATATACATTATTTTAACTCATAAAGTACATTATTTTACCCCAGAAGTTTTATTATTCTAAACACATAATGTACATTATTCTAACACAATATATTATTCTAACTCATAAAATTCAACAACGTCGTTTTGGACCATGGTCCATACAGCTAGACACAATAATTTGCCGTGTTCAAACTTATTTGGGGTTTTTTTTTTTTTCTAATATGTTTAATTTATTTAATCTTAATCCAGCCAAGATATGGATATCAAAGTAGGTGTAGCAACATCATTGATCATATTTTTAATAACCATTATCCATGTTGATAATGTCAACATCATTGAAATAGCAAGCGATGATGAGAATTGAGTTTTAAAAAGGTCACGCATGGAATGTGGAATGTTTTCCAATGATGAGAATTGAGTTTTAAAAAGGTCATGCATGGAATGTGGAATATTTTTTGAAAGAAAAGCAAATAGATTAATGAAAGAGCTTCGTAACGAAGCTAGGAAGAATACGGTCCCAATACAAATAATTTGCCTGATTCACAACATGTTTAGCAAGCTTATGAGCACTAAATGGAATGTGGAATATAATAATGGAATGTGGAATATAATCATAAATGGAATCACTATTCTAACAAAAGCTCCTTGTAACTTAATAAACATGCAACCACTATAAGGGGCGTAGCTACAGTGGGGTCAGTTGGGTCAGCTGTCTCTATTCATCCCACCCCTACTCTATATATAGTCCTAGTGTATATATATATGTATATATAATACATGTTTTAGATATAAATATATGCAAACAGATAAAACTAAACAAAGATTGATTAAGTTGGACGAGTTGGTAAAAGCATGTCTGATGCTAGAAATGGTTCAAGGTTTGAATCCCTTACTCCTCATTGCTCATTTCAACTGCTTCTTTTTTAATATATATAATGTGTTTCTTACTTGAATTATTTTATCAAATTAATTATGTTTCATATTTTGTTATATCGATATTTTTATAAAGTTTTGATGAGGGTATTTTATTTTTCGCATATATTCAACAATATTTATGACTATTTTATTTTTCTCCCCCACTAAAAAAAAAAATTCTGGATCCGTCACTGACCACTACGAACTTCCTTTAATTATATATAATAATCTTATTAATCTAAACTCTAAAGTATTTCTTTTGTTTTTTGAAAATAAGGGTGTGTTTGGTTCATGAGTTTAGTTATAAATTAAAGTTATTGTTATTGTTTGGTTGACCGGTTTCTAGAATACTACTATGGATTTGATTACCCCTTAATTAGAAAATGCATTCCCTAATAAAATAAGAGTTTCATTCCATTATTCTCCCTCCTAATCGGTAATTTGATTTAAGTTTGGATTAGTGATTTTAGAATTTTTTTTTTTAAATTTATATTGGTGTCTTGGATGTCTTTATATTAGAATAAATTGTCTTGATTTTTTGTTCTTGTATTTTTAAAACTTTTATTCCCATTATAGGATCATACATAACCAAACATCAATATTGGTAATCATTCCAATTTTCCATCCTACTACCAAACATGCAAAATACTTTAATCAAAACTCATTACTATTACCAAGTATTTGATTCTCATTTCAATACTGATTCGCATGTGCGAACCAAACACACCCTAAGTATTTCTTAACACATGAAGATTCTAAGCAAAGTCTTTAACCTCTTTTATTTTATATAAAAAAATAAAAAATAAAAAATAAAAATACGTAGGAATGTCAATTGTAACCTTAAATTGATGGGCTGATCGAATAAAATTAAAACATTAATGAGTTAAAATTGATCAATATAATATAAACTTAATAAGAAATCAAGCCAACTATATTGTGCTTGATAAATTATTCTGTGAACCCGGGTCCACCTTGATCCACTTACAAGATAAATTCGGCTCAAAAATGTTCAATTTACATACTGAATGTTTACAATTTTATAAAAAGTAATTTGTGAACATTTAATATGTAAATTCTGAACCAGGACTATGTTCGTCCAATGGTACCCGGGTTGGACTTCCATTTGAAAGATTGTGAATTCGAGCCTCAGTTGAGGCGTTATCTCTTTGTGTTTCAGTAGGTTGAGAAAGTATATAAACAGATACTACATTGTAATAGAGCTAGTAGCATTCAAAAAAAAAATATGTAAATTGTGTATTTTGAATCAGGATCCACCTTGCAAGGTGGACTCTGATCCATGGTATAACAACTAATTGTGCTCTCCGGCTAATTGGGTTGGCTTGATTAGCCCGATAACTTATATAAAAGAAAATAATAATAATAATAAGAGTGAATTCTATTTTTTGGTCCTACTGTTATAGGGGCGTTTTCAATTTCAGTCCACTTTAATTTTTTTTGTCACTTTACAACCACTGTTATTGAATGTGTTCCACTTTTAGTCCACCGTTAATATTTCCGTCAAGAGGCCGTATAATCAAAGGGTATTTTGGTATTTTTATGTTTGTCTCTTCTCTTTTAATCCAGGCGCTTCGTTCTCCTCCTCCGATATTCGAAGATGGTTCTTCGAACAATGAGAATGGGAAGCCAAAGCTACATCGTTCGTTCGTTCCAACATGGGCCAGCGAGGTTTCCTAGGTTTTAGGTTTAATGTTCTCATTTCTTTAGTCAAACATATTCTTGGATGAGAAGATAGGTCAAAATATTCCTATATTACACGGCCTCTTGATGGAAATACTAACGGTGAGACTAAAAGTGGAACACATTCAATAATAGTGGTTATAAAGTGGCAAAAAAAATTAAGGTGGACTAAAATTGGAAACGCCCATATAACAGTAGGACCAAAAATGAAATTCACTCTAATAATAATAATAATAATAATAATAATAATAATAATAATAATAGTCACACCAATCATTAATATACTATTGACCATGATTCGTTTTGTAAGGTGGATTACTTACATAAGATATATTTTTAATATGCTAAAATTCATTTTTAATATATTAAATGTTCATTTTCTGAAGCTTCATTATTTATTTTTATTTTTTTGAAAACGGAGCTTCATTATTTAGTATACTATCAAATAATGAACATTATTGAGTACAAAAATAATAAAAACTCACTATATTAAAAATGAGCATTATTTTCCCAAAAAAAAAAAAAAACACATTTATTCATGATCCACATTGCAATGTGGATCATGGTCCATATTGTAATTTACCATGTCACACCCTACTACTACATGCTTGTTTTTAGAGTTAATTCCAGCAATGGTCCTCCGAGTATGATGATTTTCCACAATTGATCCTTGACTTTTAATTTGGATAATTTAACCATCCGAGTATTAAAATCTTTCCAATTGAGGTCCTTCCGTTATATTCTAGTTAAGTGGATGTTTATTTAAAGGGTAAAAGGGCCTTTTCAAGTTCTGAGTGTATAGTTTCATCTTGGTTCCACAGCCAACGTTTTATATGATAACAGAAGGCAGACAATAACGTTGAGGCATCTATCTCTAAGGACATTTAGCGTTCTGTCTTTTACTTCTGCCATATCACCTAAGAGCTCAGATCCGAAACTCTCCGGCGGTTGTGACTTGAGATCTAACCCGGCATGGTCGCCAAAAAGATCGGAGACAAAAAAACGCTTCCGAGGCGTCGGAGATTCGGTCCTTGAAGAGGCCGAGGGACGTTTGCGGTTTGCCGGTGCTCGGGAGCGGGATGACGGCGGAAAGTTGGGCAAGTGGGATTCCGGTGCCGGTGCGGGGAGGTGTTCTACTCTAAGCACTGAAGCACAGATACTCCGATGGCTACGACTGTTTGTTTGATTACAAGGTGGCCAGCCAGGAGGCGATTGCGAGGGAAAATCCGGTGGTCCGAGCAGCCAAGATTCTGAAAGTGTGATTGCAAAAGAATTTGAGTTTTCTGGCTTTTGAGCTGGGGAATGATTGGTGGGAGCTTCACCGAAAAACCACACTCTCCTCCTTCAATCATGCCCACTTCCACACTTTAATTTGCTGGTATAGGTTGCCAAGCCTGAGTACGTCACGATGCAGTTCGAACCTTCACCAGTCACCCCTGCCGACGGAATGACCAAAACCGGGACTGCCCGTCGCCATAGCAAACCATTTGGACGAGGCCAGATTGCAGTGGTGATAACACACTACACCATTGGGAGTTTAAAAAGATATTATGAATTATTTCATATTGTTATTAACTCTGCATCTGGTGTTTCATAATTTTCCAGACCCTCATCCTCCCAACTCTCACCGCACCTCTTGTACTCGACTGCATCACCCTGACGCACCCATTCGCCGGAGACCAAACCTTAGTCTCCTCCAGCGCGCTTTTTGAGATAGGCTTCTTCACCCTGAAAACTCCGACCGATGCTACATGGACATCAAAGAGAAGACCGTTGTTTGGGTTGCTAACAGGGACACACCTCTCACGAATGCCACCGGCCGGGGAATTCTAGAATCGGCGAAGATGGGAATATTTATTTGGTGTATGGAGGTGGGAATTCAATCTGGTCAACGTATCGACCCAGCCCAACGGCATGCCGGAAGCATTCTTGAGGAAGAAAAACGACGTAATTTACGGGAGCAAAGCTTGGAATGGAATCCGGTTTAGTGGCGTCCCAAAAATGAATCTGACAGCGGCCATAACATTCTCATTTGTCTCCACGAAATCCGAGAATTACTGCACGTTTGAGCTCCACAACCAGACAATATTCTCCAAGTTGCATGTCAGCCATGGCGAGTACCTAGAGCGGTACATGTGGATTTTGACCAACAAAATCTGGAACAAATTCTCCCCAAACGGGTGCGTTAGAGTTCATGGTTTGGAATGTGAAAACTATGGGTTTTTGGCGTTGAATTAGATGAAGTGAGTTTGATTGTGGATGCCGGCATGAGCTTCATGAGTGTACGGCGATGTGCAAGAGGAATTGCTCCTACGCCGCGTATGCAACTCCAATATCAACGGTGGGAAATGAAGATGAAATATACACTCAGAACCTAAAAAGACACTTTTACCCCTCAAATAAAGGTCTACTTAACCAAGATATAACAGAAGGACCTCAATTGGAAAGATTTTAATAGTCGTATGGTTAAATTGTCCAAATTAAAAGTCAAGGACCAATTGTGGAAAATCATCATACTCGGATGACCATTGTTGGAATTAACTCCTTGTTTTTATATATGACAAAGAATAAACTCAACCCATCAGAAGTAATCTATAGACAATATTGAAGTGATGTATTTATCTGTGGCATTCTTTAGGTACTAAATGTTAAGAGCTGATGAACATTTAATATCTAAACACAAATGTACAATCTAACTATCAATTAAGATCATTCAATTTAGTATCATAGTGCTAACTTAATTTATTTATTTTTTTTATGAAAAAAAAAAAAGAAGGACTATAACCCACATATTGTTCATAAACGTATAGTCCAACTATCAACTTAATATTTTAATCGGGATGAAACATCATTCAAATATAGCCACCGTTCTCAAACTCATACAAGTTGGACACCCAACTAGGAAACCATAAACAAATACTTACAAAAGATGACGGTGGAAAGTATGGGTATACCCCAAAAACAAAAGACATGTTTTAGATACTATGGATAAAACTTGTTAGCCATGCTACACAGACTCAACATCATATCCTCAGATGACCATAAACTTGTGTTAGAGCTTAAACATGATGGCAAGGTGCCATCAAATTCCCCAACAAAAACTGGGGAGCTTGCATGAGCTGTTGATCAAGGCAAACCAGATTCTCCCTCAACCATGCTGATCTTGATGAGCTCAAATCCAGAAGCTCTTCCAAAAGATTGATATAGCCACTCAACCCACACCCTGGCCTTTCCGCCATGTATTTCATGTACGCGTGATCTAATTCTCTACGAACAGATGATACAATGTCATACTCCACCTTCCCGAATGTCTCCCTGGCATGACTAAAATACCCACCGAAGATCTGGAAGCATCCCGAGGATTGCGATAATCCAGCACAGTGAGAAGAGCCATTCATCGCAGTATGGGCATTGAAAGGATACGGAGCATCAAATTTGGTCGAAAGTTGTGGGGTTGTAACAGAAACTCGGGGATGCCTTTGAGCTAATCCATTGTGATTTAAAGAATTGGGAATTTTGTATGCAGAGGGTGAGAATATAAATTTGAAGGTACTGCACTTGCCCAAGTAAAAAGGCTCATCACACCTCGCACTATCTCCTCTTTTCTGATTGTAACCAGGGTAATCTGCACTGTTGAAATCAACGCACTCGATCAAAAGCAAAGAACTCTTTGATGCCAATTCAGTAAGATTCCAGTGACAGAATGGCGGTGTTGTTTTGTGGTTGACATGAATTTCACCACCCGCTCGGAGCATGCCACTTGCATTCCTAAAGAACCCCTGGATAAGACTCCTGTGCATTCTGTCCATAAACGAAATATTAGGTGAAGAAAATTTTACAGCAAGTCATATAAACAGAGGGAAGGCGAAATAATTCACACGAAACCACCATAATTTAATGCATTTTTAATCCAAATTTTGGATACAATTATCTGTGCATAACTTCACTTGAAAACTATAAACATTCTGATATATGGCACAAGTAAAACGGGTGGTTCATCAGTACTTTATATCACCTCAAGCCTCCCCTTTATTATTGCAATAAATTCAACTACAGGGAATCGAGACAACATTACCCCACAATGCAAATCGTTCATTCATTGCAGGAAAAGTAATACGTAATGTTGAATAAACATACCTTTACCAAGTAATGGCCTTTCAATCTAATAAGCAATAACAATAATTTGCTATGATGAGCTCAAATAACACAAGTAAATGCCAAAAAAATTGAAAACCGGTGCAAAAAGATTCATGGCCAGGTAAAGGCTAATCATACAACAATAATGCCACAAGGAAGTTAATAGATTAAAACCTAATTTCCAGTAATAATAAAGTCATTGCAAATAAAGACGTACTGGATAAGACGGTTGTCATCTTCCTTCCCATAGAAACCTGCATGGGGGAAATTAAATATAATGCGGTCGAATTTCCTCATCCGGAGATCAGTATGCAGCTTCATGTTGATAGCATCCACTCGATGCAAAATTGTGGCTCCTAAACGTCGCAATTTCTTTAAGTTTGATTCTGCATTCTTGTACTTTTTTGTCACCTTACCTGCATATATGAAATGATACCATACCAGTATCTAAAGTCAAAAACCCAAGACTCCAAGAGTGATTAGCATCAAACATTATGTTCAAAGGAATGGCAATCAAAACCTTAAATCTCAACCAACATCCTCCTGCCTTACAATAGGGGAAATGGGATGAAAAGGGTACCCATAATTACAAGTAAAATGGGGAAAGTTCAATGAAATGAAACTAGTTATTCAATATCTCCATTTAGGTAAATTTTGTGATTCCTGCTTTAAGAAAGCTGAGAACTTTTGTTGAATCAATAATCCATTATCTCCCTCAAACTCATAGAAAATGGATCAAGAATCTTCTTCCTACTCTTTCTTTCTTTAGTACATCCATCTGAGATGAGTGAAAATTACAGCTTGATGACAAAATCTTTGGCCTCATTTCAATCATTTGATTAAATAAGCTTTACCATAATAAAAAACATGAGAACCCCAGATTAAAAAATGATTTCAAAAGTCAACTAAATGGATATTCAATAAACCATGTAGTCCCAATCCCCAAAAAGAAACAAATGAAAATTTTAACTCTTTTCCACTGAAAACGACAACTCCAGAGAACATACAAGGAGTGGAGTGTATGATAATCTCAGCACAATATATCATTCCAAAACCCTAAAGATCGTAGCAAAATGTTGATATAAACGCAGTAAAGCGTTTGTGTGTGTGAGTGGAGAGAGGATACCGTAAGAATCGAGAGAAGAAGCGAGAATGTTAGAAGCGGAGCCAAAAGAGTTGGCCAAACACAGAGAAAAAGAGAAGTCTCCATCGCCCACTAGAAGAATCTGATGAAGTGAGGAGTAATGCATCAGCCATTTCTCTTCGCATTCTTGCTGTTGTAATACCATTTTCCCTCTTTTTTTGAGGTTGAGGATGACAGTGGCAGCCTGCAGTTCCCCCCCGGCCCCCAATCAAAATTTCTTGGAATTCGAATTTTGAAATGCAGAGGTTTTGAATGGAAGTACCAGTTTACCATTAGACATTACCATCGTTTATAAACCCTCATTATGTTCAAACGTCCAAATTTTGGTTTAAATCATTGTGTTAGTTGATAGCTGATTATGTTAGTAAATTTGACTAATTAATAGTATTATAAAATGAACTTTTTAAAAAATTACTTTGATCAGCTTTTTGAATTTTAACGTTTGGGAATAATATTTTAGAGAAAATTACACTTTTGGTCCTATAACTATAGAGGAGGTGGTAATTTTAGTTCGTGACTTTTAAAACTAACAAATTTAGTCTTTTTAGTATGCTTTTTTCACACATTTAGTCCTTCCGGCCAATTTGCCGGTAGATTTTGGCCGGAAAAATACATTCAGTTGTTTATTAATTTCTTTGGGGGGTAAAATGGTCACTAATGTCTGAGATCACACTCTGTACATCTTCTTCCTTCTTAAACCAGAAAAACACATGGTCGTTTAGAGCATATTCTGGTTTGCAATCCACCTTCCAGCTCCATGCAAGTTCTTGGATAGCTCTCATGCCGGGAAACCAGCCTGCAAACCTACCCAACAAGCAGTATGTCTTGACTTCTTCAATCTCCAACACCTCATCCTTCTCAAGTTGGAAAATTTCTTCTTCAGATTCAATAAATTCCAGCCTGCAATCTCACTCTCCATCGCTTTCCCAACAACAATCGGTCTCTGAATATTCATTCTGTTGGCCGTAGTTGTGGTCTACTTCTTGTTAACATTTTGTTTTGGAACCCACTGCAATTTTCTTGTGCCAAACACTTCATCCTTATCCGCCCATTATCCATCGAAAAAGTATCTGTCGAACCCAGCGTACGGGAGGCAGATGAGTCAACTGTGTTCCCGCCCATCTGTTGACCGTTCATGTTCACCGGAACAGCTGAAGACCCTGCGATATCCCCACCTGAGAAGCCATTGTTCTCCCTCGTATTACTAGTTCCCAGATTCCGTTGGGTACCCTGAGCATTAATCACCCCAGAAATCGATCGCACAACCCCTGTTCCGACACCCAAACTCACCGGAGGATTAGCAACTATAGCAAGCTGACCAGTCGTGTTCAACACAGACCCCTGAACCCCATTTGCACCTCTACTCACCAGCGCAAAGTTATCGAACGTGTTTCCAGTCCTTAATTGACGTTTAAGGTGGACGTTATTTAAGGTAGGAAATATAAGCCACCGTTTATCCCCTTTTTTCTCAGACATTAGTGACCATTTTACCCCTCCAAAAAATTAATAAACAAATGAATAGGTTTTTCCGGCGAAAATCTACCGGCAAATTAGCCGGAAGGACTTAATGTGTGAAAAAAAGCATACTAAAAGGACTAAATCTGTTAGTTTTAAAAGTCACGAACTGAAATTACCAACCCCCCTATAGTCATAGGACCAAAAGTGTAATTTTCTCTAATATTTTATTAATCAAATAGTTATATGGACTGTTTTTTTTTTTTTTTGAAAATGTTATATGGACTGTTTAATTAAGTCAAATAAGTCAAAATTGACTGATAAACTAATTATTCTATCAAACAAGAGTTAATTACCGATTTAGTCCCTCGACTTTGAGGATTTCACCACTTTGGTCCTCAACTTTCAAAAGTGACCAATTGAGTCCTCAACTATACTAACCGTTAACCGATTTGGTCCTCAGTCTACTTAACCGTCAAAATGCAAGGGTATTTTAGGAACTTCAAATAATACTCAGGCATTCCTCTCTTTGCATTTATAAACCTAGGTCTTCAGATTGTTTCTTTCAAATTTTATCAGTCTATGCTTGTGTTTCCTTCGAATTTTAGTTTTCTTCATCTATCATATTTCTCGTGTCTACTATGGAAGAAAAATACAGTGAGGATAGCTATGGGTCATCGTCCAAAATCAAGAAAATGGTGTTAGAAAATACAGAATCTTCAACGAGGCATAGTTGCCAGTGTGGTCAACAACTCAAGATATGTGCTTCATGGACTAAAGACAGTCTAGGCCGTAGGTTTTGGCTGTGCGAATCCGAAAATGTGAGTATTTGTTCGTTGGCTTATAATCCAATTTGATTTGATAATTTTATAATTTTTTTTTTTTTGTTATATGGAGGAATTAGTGGTGGATGTGGATTTGTTCGTTGGTTTGACCCCCCACTACAAGAAAAATGCACATAGACAACGGTTAATAACCGTTGTCATAGGGGTATACTTTCTGTTGTTGAAGCCGGTGTTGTTGTAAGTCCCGCGCATAGACAACAGTTTTTTAACCGTTGTCTTTTCTAGAAACAATAACGGTTTTTTAACCGTTGTCTATTAAGTGTTGTTGAAGCCGGTGTTGTTGTAAGTCACGCACATAGACAACGGTTAATAACCGTTGTCTTTTCTAGAAACGACAACGGTTTTTTAACCGTTGTCTATTAAGTGTTGTTGAAACCGGTGTTGTTAAAAGTCATGCACATAGACAACGGTTAATAACCGTTGTCTTTTCTAGAAACGACAACGGTTTTTTAACCGTTGTCTATTAAGTGTTGTTGAAACCGGTGTTGTTAAAAGTCACGCAATAGACAATGGTTATTAACCGTTGTCTTTTCTACCAACGACAATGGTTTTTTAACTGTTGTCTATTAAGTGTTGTTGAAACCGGTGTTGTTAAAAGCCACGCAATAGACAACGGTTAATAACCCTTGTCTTTTCTACCAACGACAATGGTTTTTTAACTGTTGTCTATTAAGCGTTGTTGAAACCAGTGTTGTTAAAAGTCACGTACATAGACAACGGTTTTTAACTGTTGTCTTTTCTTTAAAAGACAACAGTTATAAACCGTTGTCTATTGTGTGTTGTTGAAACACCCATAAACTGTTGTCTTTTGTAGAAAAGTCAACGGTTTCTAACTGTTGTCTATTGTAAAATAGACAACGGTTTTTAACCGTTTTTCACCTGCTTAAATTATAATCGTATAAAAAAAAAATTATCCATTCACCATATGTTGCAAAGTGTAGTTACATAATTGTGCACAAGCTAATAAGGTTCAAAATAACAAGTCAAAATACTTCCATGACCAATTCTAATTATCATTCAAGTCATAATACTACTACACAAAAAACAATTCCCCGAACCAATTCAAGTCTAGATGATCACAACGTTCGAATGACCAAATCATACCTACTCTATATGACTTGATAGAATATCGGCCCATTCAGATCGCACCAGATCAATAACCTCTTTGTCATAATCAACTTGTTGAAACTACATGTAAAAAGTAAGAAAATAAATTAGTATAGATATAAATAATTTGCAATGAAATGAAACTGCCCTCTTACTCTCACCACATTCATACTCAAGCTGTTCATAACAAGATAATGAGTTCCCTAAAGAGAATCATAACAAGTGTAGCCAACAAGTAAAGAAAGACACTTGAAAAAGCAATACAAATGCACTCCCCAAAAAAAATGTTAACAGATCAGATACACATGATTCAGGTTCTTGTCTTAGCCTTCAAGTCTTTGGGAGATTACTAGACACCCAAATTTGATAAACAATTCAGATAAAATCTCATGAGAATATAATGCATGAAACTTAAACACAAACGACAAAGAAATCCCTTATTAATTACAAAACATCAAGCACTAAAATGCCCAAAATTTCGAGCTTTCACACACATTCTACACCCAAATTTCAGAGCAACAAACTTATTCTAAAAAATAAAAAATAAAAAATAAAAATCAAATTTATCATCAATAACTGTCCAAATCAAGTGAAAAAGAGAGAGGCTTAAATCCAAGCTAACAAAGCATTAAAAACCTAGAACCATTCTGCAATTAAATAACAGCGAGAAACAAGGAAGAGAGAGTAGAAATGGAATGTAATACCAGTGCTTGAACAGAATTTTTATCTTCGAAGTCTGGCATATTCTCAATTAAAGTTTTCATGTACGCCATGACAAAAAAACCGCATTGGTTACTATCCGGTTGACGAGGAGCCTACAAATGTTAAATAATATTTGCATTACAATTTAGCTATATACAAACACTTATATAGTTAAAAATATGAAATTACCTTGACAATTTCCCAAGCAGTTTTACTGCGTCCTTTAATTTCTTTGCATTCGTAGTGGATGCATGAACCATTTTAATAGCCCTTCATATATATATATATATATATATATATATATATATATATATATATATATATATATATATATATATATATTCAGATTATGTAATAATAAATCGAAAGAATGAAAATAAAAAAAAATAAAAAATAAAAACTTACATTTCTACAACACGCTTCCAATCATCATCGTGAATGCGATGATTAAGAGGGTCCCACACATAAACTAAGTCCTTAGTGATGTTGATAACTGTCAGAACCCAATGGAAGCTATGCACACACAAACACATAATTATATATTACATCAACACAATATATGCAATTGAAAGTAAATTGTAACCATTCTTACCCTATATTGCATGAACCATTGTAAACGTAGTACATCCAGCGTATAGCGGTTTCTCTGCATCTTCTAGTAATTTACTAAATTTGTTGGGATCCTCAACGTATTCGTCATAAGCAGCATTTACCATATCTATAGGGTTTTCATCAAAAAGCATTTGCTCCTCTCCCCTAATTTGACATCCCTCATCTATTGAGTTGTTAAACGTGGCCTTCTCCCCGTGCCATATCCATGACACATACGTTGCATCCATTCCATTACGGTACAAGTGTGCCCTTATAGTATCAATAGGTTGCTTCCTTAGGTTGCCACATATTGCACATGGGCATGATATTGAATTAGGATCAACGACATTTTTTTTTAGCAAATTCTAAAAAAGATTCTACTCCAACCTCATATTCATAACATAATCTATCTTTTGACATCCATTCTTTGTCCATTTCAATGCTACAAAATAGTCAAGTGACAAGAAAAATAAATTCATGTCGCTTAAAAATAATCAAGTAACAAGACAAATAAT